AATCAATGTCAGAAGTTAATTAGTGGTTTTGATTAAATTAACGCTCAAATAGGTTCGTCTTTGGTGATGAATAATGTGACCCATTTTAAAGGCTTGTGAAGATTCTGGTCTGTCCTGGTGTATTTTGTAGGTGATAAAACTAGGCTGAGTATCGAGACAAAAATCCAAGTGCTATTAGTACAAGGACTTTGTATTGGTTACCTGAAAATCTACTTAGACTTGCTGTTGTACCTCTTAAAGCTGACAAAGAATCCAGCATGCACTTTCCAGCTTCCAAATCCTTCCAAACAGTTTGCTGTTGAAATCGAGGGCTGGACCTGTGCAGCACGAGGTCAGAGCAGCACGCTCCCTTCCTGCTTAGGCCAACAGCTGCTCTCTGCTTGGTGTCAGCATCAGAGCTTGCAAAGAACGGGGCTTTGAGCATCTCCTTAGATGGAGAGAACTTGGTGCTGGCAGAGAGGAGCGTGGTGGTCCTGCTGCCTCTGCAGGGCTGCACAGAGCAGTGCTGTCTGCCCGCTGGCATCTTGTGGCTGCCCTCAGAACTGTACAGAGGCAGTGGCTGAGTAGCTGAGCCCAAATTCCTGAAAAGATTTGGATTTAAAGGAGGGAAAAACCCAACAACCAACTGCCAGCCGTTCCTTCCCTCCCCAGCACTTTGCTTTATAACTCAGTTGCTCCAGAAATGTGGTTCAGAGCCTGACCGTGTGCAGCTGACCCAGCCCGAGGGAGGTGGCACTGCTTGTTGGAGGCTTGAGCAGAGGGCAGGGCTGAGAAAAAAATCCCTGAGCCACGTGTGTTGGAGTGGGGCACGGCTTGGGTGCGTTGTGCTGGCATGTGCCACAGCTGTGCAGCCACTGCAGCCCTTCCTGGTAACAGCACAACTGTTCTTCCTTGCTGCAGTGCTGACTGCTTCTGGGCAGCCTAACCTAACGTAGCTATGCGCCAAACCTGGTTGGTTTTGTGGTGTTTGGAAATCACCATGATTAACGTCAGCTAATTAACAATAAATTACACTGAATAGCATTTCTTTTTTCCCCCTAAGGAGCATAATGAGATGAATGTGCACTGAGACATGACCAAATCTGCCCAGCCAGGCAGTGTACAAAGCACCTCCCAGTCCAGTGTGTGCATCTCACTATAAAGACTTCTGGCCTTGCCTTGTTTGTTGGGATCTCTGCAATGCAGTGCAGTTGAATCACTTTAGCAGTGGCATCATTTTAAACAAATATTTTCATAGCCACTGATCCAGATTATATTTCAATTACAAATATCCTTTAAATCCTGACCATACTGGGGAAAAGCTTTTTTTCTGGTCATTCTTTCCTTTTTTTTTTTTTACATTTCATTCAGCAAAATGCTTTTTGACAGCTGTCAGCACCTGGTCACTATTGGCCATCAGTATCTTGATAGAGATGGAGGCATTGATGGTGGTCACTTCTGCTTTGGTTGGAGCAGGATGCGTTATTAGTGCTCTCTGAATGGCCAAGTGTCTGATAACATCAAAGTAGTTCCTGTGTCTGTTGCAATTGCTCTCGTTATGCTGATATTTACCTTCTTTCTAGCACAGTGACATTGACCTGCATTGGTTCATTGGTCCTCCCAGCTGCATTTGAAATGGTTTGCTCTATCACTCTTAACAAGCTTTTGCCTGAAGTAACCCAAGATGAGACAGGCTCTGAAGTGATCTTTGTCCCTCTTTCTCTCTAGTCTTATTGCTACAGGTATCGCTGTGCAGCTCGCAGCCAAAACACCCCTGACAGCTCAGCTTCAAATCTGGGGTTTCGCTGTGCAGCCGATGCCTCGCCGGACCCACAGTGACCACATGGCTGCACTGCATTCAGGGAAGAGGCATGCAGTGTTACCTGCTGCTGAGAATGGAAAATCTTGTGCTTAAAGTTCCTGTTGGACAGGAAGATTCCAGCACTCACCAGCACTGCTTGAAGCTGTGTGTGCCTATGCTTGGGGAGCATGGCCTGGACGTTCATCGTGACCAAGCTTCTTAGAGGTACTGCTTTCAGTGGGAGTAGCCTGGAGTTACATAAGCACAAACCTGAGCAGAAACATGCTGACAGTGTTTTAAAATGTTAACTGTATTTAGTAGATCCTTTGGAAAAGTTCTTTAATAACTAAATGTATTTATGTATCGTTTGAATCTCCACACTCAGATCTGATAAATGAGGATTTCATAGGCTCCTGGATAGCTCTAAAAGAAATCTGAAGCAGTTACTGCTTCCATAACCTTGTAGGAGGCATACTTACCATTTGGAAAAGACACGAAGACAACACAGGGACACTTAGTGCAGCTGGTGTATTGCGTTCTAATGGCAGCGAAAATCATATCCAGCAATGTGCTTTTTTGGTGCAATACTAACTGCTCCATAGGAAGAAGTGCCTTTTGCAACTGGAGGGGAGGGATAATCATCACTGTGAGGATTAGAAATGTATGTATTTGAATAAAATATCAAGCATTTCTTCACGCTGAAAGCTTTTACTGGTGGGGAAAAATACTGGCAACGTGCTTTGAATTTCTCTTGGCTGGGTTGTAGGCTTAATTTCAGAACTTCCAAATTGCAAATATGGCATTGGAAACTGAGGCTAATGAATGACTGCTAGAATAGAATTCATTCAAATCAAAATATGGCAAACGGAACTATGAGCCCTAAGGTTTAATGAGATAAACTAAGAAGCTGTTGTCTGTTCCCCAACACAAAGCAAACACCCAAACAAAACAACCTCTCCTGATTTGAAAGAATAACGATAGCAAGGAGAAGGGGGTATACTGAGAACTACCTCATTTCAGGATCTGAATGTAGTTCAGCCCTGTCACAAAGTGTTCTCAACTACCACTGCTGCAGCAGGGGGTGCTTGTGCTAACTGGAGCCTTCACAGGGAATGTCTGTGCTGTCAGCTCTGCCCCGGCACCGCTCTCCTCCTGGACCTGTTATGCAGCAGAGGTGCTGACCTCTGTCAGGCTGTGTAAGTGCCTGTGTTAAATGGATTGAACTCGGCAGTCTTGTCAGATGCTCTCAGAGATAACAGTGAAAAATGTGGTGGATTAACAGAACTTTTGCATTGATGACACTCTTTCCCAGCAGTGGTGAAGTAGGTGCGGGTCAATGCAGTGTGAGGTGAATACAAACCTGTATTTACAAGCCCATCCAGCTCCCTCTGCACTTGGTGTTCAATGCTGGGAGGCACAGGAGAGCATCAGGGGAGCCCTTCCCTGAGCATCAGCCTCTGGGGCAGTGGGAAACTCATGTGAGCAGCAGAGAAAATGATTCAGAACACACCAGCGTGGTGAAAGCTAGGATTCTGTGGCAAATATTTTGTATGCTGAGGTTGTTTTACCAGCATGAAAGGTTTTAAATCTGTGTATTAGAAACGTCTTTTGTTAATTCTTAATAAAATTGATTCTCCCTTTCTAAAAGGCATAATTCTGCCTTAAGAGATACACTTCATAAAGATTCTGCGGAGTTGTTTTTCGTTTTTGTTCTGGAAAAATGCCTCGGAGTAAAGCAAACAGAAAGCTGTATATAGCTCTGCATAGTGGAAAGTTCACTTTGCTATTTAAAAACAACTTCATATCAATTTTTTTTTTTCAGTTCCTTGCTAGGGCACGTTTAGGATTCCGGTCCACACCCGAGGGCAGCAGGCAGTGCTAACAGCCCTGCTGTTTACACAAAGGTGTGCTGTGATGGGCCTTTAGTGCAGCTGTTTCTAACAGCCCTGCAGACCCTTCTTGCTCTGCGTGTGGAAGTTTGTTTTGGCCCAATAACTGCTCAGCTCACTTGTTAGAGACAGCAGCAGCGGGTGGGGGCTGGGCAGGTAGGACTGCAGGGGCAGAAGGCAATGAGCTCGGATTTAAGGCTGCTGGTGCAAGGAGCAGGTATTGTTAATGTGCTCCTCTGTTTTGGGTTTTGAATTTACACTTCCTTAACTACTCGAAATCATGCCAAGTATGTATTCATAACAGGAAGCTAACACACAGTGCTGTCATCTTGAAAACCCATCTAATCTTCAGGAACAGGAATACAGGAGACAAACCTATCTTGAAACTTTTTCCAGGAGGAAAAAGAGGAAGCAGATTGGATCATCTACTCCCACACCTCCTGTCCTGTAGGCTGAAAGTATCTGGGTGGCTGCCACGATGCCCTTGGGGAGAAGAAAACCAGATAAGCCCCTCAACAAGACGAGAAATCTTGCTGTCTAAGCTGTGTTCTGGTTCCTAGCAAAGCGTGCATTGAGTCACAGAACCACACAGTTCTGTAGAATCAGACAGCCCAGCTCAGACCAAAGGAAATCAAGCTGCTGCCCCCGCTGTGTGGGAATGGTACCTTTCACAGCAGCTGCATTCCTGTGGCTGTTCCTCTGTAGTGACAGGAGTGCAGACAGAACGCTCCCCAGCTGCTCTCCTGCAGCGCCGCAGGGAGGCCGTGCACAGCAGCACGTGTGTGTATCTCTGTGCAAGGATAACAAAAAGAAGATGCAGTAATTATTTCTTTCCTGCGGCAGGAGGCAGGCATTGCCTCATTCTGTTTGCCTCTGTAGAAACAGAGAAAAGAAAACAATAGCTTCTAACTTCTCAGTCTGTTGTTTTCTGTGCTTCACTTTCCAACTTTAATCCATCTCAGAAGCCAGAACAGCAGTGCCACGCTGCTCTGGGCTGCACTCTGATTTTACTTTTGGAGTGCAATATTACAGTGCTGGAAAGTAATGTAGAAGCAATGCTTGCTGTTACTGCAGAAATCACAGCAGATGAGCCTCAAGATAGAAGTGCAATCATCCCATCTATCTAAACCACATCCATGAGCCTTCTGTGCGCTCTGCACAGAAGCTAAACAATAACAAAAAGGAACAGTCCCTTAATGAGGAATTTTGGCAAGCTGCTTCATGTGACTGGAAGAGGAAAAGCAGGTGGGAAGCATTTAAGTTAGCCTTTTAGGGCAGGTTTTGAACATGTGTAAGAATTGCGGTTGGTGGAACAAGAGAACTGTAGCAACTCATTTTAAAGATTTATTTCTTACAACAAGGTTTAAGACATCTAATGCCTCTTAGTGCAAATTCCAGCATTCCTTTGTCTCTCTCACTCCTCTGTGTGACTGCCAGAGCTGCCTGTTGCTGTTACCACAGCTCCCTTCTCCATACCTGTGTTAACGCTCATTCGTTCTGAAAGCTTTAGTACAAATTAAAGACATAATTTGTTAACATATGGTAAGCTGTCAGCTGAAAACAAGAAGAAAGCACCAATCCCGGGTCAGTAATTGAGACTGGAACACCCTGAAGCTTCTTATCATCCACCTTGAAAACAGCCTCTGGGACGCTGCATGAAGGTGGTCTCAAAATCTTATGTTCTCAGCTGTTACTCAAAACCTCGCTTTATACTTCTACAAAAAATAGTTCTTTGATGTTTGCAGTTTGATCTAGGTGCACTTCAACTACTGGAGAAAATGGCATCGCTACGTATGGCCAGGGAGCTACGGAGAGCTCTGTGAATGTGTGTCTGCAGCGGGGAACAGGGAGCCGTCCCAGGGCAGGAAGGCAGCGCAGGTCCGGGACCCACAGAAGCACGGCTTCCTCAGCACGCTGCCTTCTTCTGAAGCTTTTTGTTCCCCCTCAGTTGGCGGTAAGTTACGGAACCTCCCAGAATAATCGTAGCAAAGCTCCTCTCCAGCAGAAATATCGGTGGCAGCGAAAAGCGCCAGCCTGGGCACCATGGAGTCAACGCGGACGGGCACCATCACTAAGTTGGGTTCGCAGGAGTGATTGAGGAACCTGCCCACGTTCCCGATGTACGTGGGGTCAACGAAGGTCTCCATCAGCCGCCCGTCGTGGAGGTGCTCCCGCACGGCTATGATGTAGTTCGGATCCTGGGCCGCCTGGGCGCGGCTCCTCCTGCGTGCCTCGGCGAAGCCCAAAACCTCCCCGGCGTATTCGCAGACAAAGCTCCCCTCGGCTACGGCTTCCAGAGCGCGGACGCCCCAGCCCTTCTTAGCCGTCTTGAACACCTGGAGCCTGACCTGCAGACCCCTCTGCACGACCCTGTTCTGACAGCCGTCCCCGCAGCGGCACATGGCGTTGCACTCCAAGAGCGGCGCGGCGCAATGCGGGACGCGGCCGCGCCGTCCGAGCCGCACGCACGGGCAGGAGCGGGCGGTGCAGGAGCGGACGCGGCACGGGCAGCCCTGGAAGGTCACCTCGGTGGGGTCGATGGCTCCGTCCGCCCCGGGCACGCAGTCCGGGCTGTACTGCGGGGAGAGCGGCACTCAGAGCCCGCTACCGGGCTCTCCCGGGTACCCGGGCTATCCGAACGGCCGCCCGCGTCGGAAGGACGGCGGACGCGCGGCTCGGTGACGCCGATGCCCCCCGCGGGTGAGCGAGCGATCTCAGCGCTGCCGAACGCCGGCTTCGTCGCCCGGCCGACGCGCTCCCGATGGCCGCCCCGCTCCGCCTACCTGGAACGGCGCCGGGCTTTCCCCGGGCGGCCACAGCGCCACGGCCACGGGCTCCAGCCCGCCGCTCACGTCCCGCCCGGCCGCCATGCTTTAGCCCCGCCCTCGCCCCGCGCCGATTGGCTGCCCGGGCCGCGGTCGCTCCGCTCATTGGCTGAGGGGATGGGGCATCGCGCGGGCGCTGTGGGAGCCTTGAGGGTGTGGAGCAGGAGGAGGGCGCCATCTTGAGGGCGTGAAGCTGCTGCCCTGTGTGGGGCGGTCCGTCGGTCCGTGCTCTCGTTCCGATGGCGGTGTGTCGTTCCGAGCTCATCTGTGGGCGTTGAACCCGCAGGCTGTGCAGGAGTGGTTTTTCTCCGGACTCACACCGCGGCGTGGAGCGCCAGCAGCAGAAGGGCTCTGCGGTCTCGTGTCCGTGCCCGGTCGGCTGCTCCTCTCCCTTCTCTGCTTATCTTAGGGTTTCTTAACCGCTCTGTTTGTGGTCACATCTCCGTGCTGCTCTTCTCAGCTCGGGTGTGCGCCTTCCTTTGATTTGAGCTTGTTTCCTGGTAAGCTGCTCCATCAGCTCTGCAGGCGCCTTCTGCCAGTGCGCGGTGTGTCTGCTGGAACATCGACCCGCAGGTTGGGGGGCACCAAAAATCCACGTCCCGTTGAGCGGGGCAGAGCTGCGCTGCGCTGAGGGCGGTGAAGTTCACAGGCTGGTGTCTGCACGTGGAAGCGTTGGGTTGTTTCCCCACGTGGCCTCGGTTCTGCAAGTAAAGCACACATCTGGTAGGGTTTGTTCAGCTCTCAAGTTTGCAAGGCTGTTGGTGATGCAGCACAGCCAAAAAACACTTTGATTTGACACCTGCCATCTACTGCTATTGAGCTCCAAACCTCCGAGTGGCAGAACACAAATGTTCTGCAGGGTGTTTGGGCGTGGGATGCAGTGTGGTCCACTGACAGATAACGTTATCAAACGACACGTCGTGCGTTATCACACACAAGGCAGTTTGTGTGGATGAGTGTTACACAGTGTTACTTTTGACTGAGAAGTCAGGTTGTTCATCGTGTTCAGGTGGAACTGTGTCGGAGCGATTCTTTTTGGTGATTTACCACTAGTTCTGTGGTGGCGTGCTGGTTTCAGACACGTGTTGTGTGTCAGCCATGTTTCCAGCCTGCATGAACCCCAAATCGGTGCAGCTGTAGAGGAGATTGTACAGCTTGGTCTTGGCAAACGCTGCAGTGGTCTTCCAAGGTGAGAAGATGAGCTCACAGGGGTTCTTGTACTGAGTGAGTGAGGAACTCAGTGCATTCCAAGGCTGTAATGTTGATCAGGTTTCATGGTGCTGGTTGGTATCTCCTGAGATGGAACAGAGCTGCTAACACACATAAGCTGGAGCTGATGAAAGCTGCTGGGCTGTGAGCGGAGGGCTGGGTAAGAAATGAGCATTTTTATCTCCATGATGGATCGTGGGACAAATCCTTGCAGCCCCTGTCCTGTGTGGCATCTTGGTCTGCAGTGTTTCCTTTGTTAAAGGGTTTGAGAGTAAGAAAAATGCTGGGTTTGGGTTTTTGTTTTATTCTTTAAAGCAATGTTTGGTTGATATCTTACAAGGTGTCAAACTGCTGATTCTATAATATTTATGCTCTCAAAAATACGGCGTTTTGAAGTCTTTTTTTAAAATTTGTGTTGTTGAAAAATATATTGTAAAAGAATAAAAATGTCCCTTATCTTATCTTAGTGCTCCAGAACTGTACTTGGCTTTAAATGAAATCCATAACTTTCTTATGTTGGTATGACAACAGCACACGTTGTGTTGAAATTAGAGTAAGAGTATAGATGAATGTTAGCTGGGTGTGCAGAACGGCTCAATAAATCACTGGGATTTCTGATTAAAGAAGAATAATTCAGAATGACAGGCAGTGGAACAACGCTTTTAAGAGGGGAGGAGCAGTATGAAGAAAGAATTATGCGTGTTTAATGCAGTATTTCACTGTGATGGTAAATCAATTCCTTTGTCAAGGTGTATGAACAAATTTATGAGCGTTCGTATGTGGGGCAATTAGTAAGTGATCTTGTATAGGACTGAGATATCTGGTTTTGCACTGTAACCTTTAGATGCAATTTATCTCAGAGACTGGGTGCTTAAAACTATCTAAATGTTCCATCTAAAGGAAAAATGGAAAAGGAGATGATGTGGAGCTGTGGGTGTGAGGCTGCAGGTGGCATCTCAGCTCCTGCCTCAGCCGCTCTGTGCTGAGTTCCTCTCTGCAGTTCAGGGCTGGGGCTGTGCATGCAGGCAGCAAAGTCCTGCTCTGGAATGATGGCTGCAAGGCAGAAATAAAGGCACTAGATAGGGAAGTTGTGACTGAGCAGCAGATCTGGGTTTTGGCAGAACTTTGAAGATAGTCTGTGCAGGTATCACCTTGCTCTCAGTAGCCAGTTTCATAATGCTTTTCTTAGTTATTTTCCCTATAGAAAATATGAGGCTGCAAAACTGAGGAGCAGAATCTAAATAATACATAACTTGGTCTTTCCTGAAGCAGGTAACTGGATGGTAGAGGGTTCAGAAGTGATTTGAGGGTCTAGCTAGAGAAACAAGTGCATTCTTTGCATGGCCATTCTTTAGGATACGCGCAGACGGATGAATGGCTGTTTCCCTGAGAAGCTGGATGTGCTTCCAGCACTGAGTTTTCTGTACCTCTGCTCTTTGGCAAGTTGCTTTGCCCCTCCTGCTTCAGTGAGCAGGTGCAGCAGCTGTGAGTGCAGGAGGGCAGAGAGGAGCAGTTTGATAAGATCAGCACTGCTGGTTGTGTGCAGCTGAAAGAACACCATTGGAACGTGTGTCCAAGTCATCTCCAGCTCGCTGTCACCCCTGCTTATTGTAACGTTGGCTATGTGGAAGCAGCAGTCTTGTTTTTCTTGAAAGGAGGTTTGTAGTTGGATTTTTCCTCACTTGGCATTTCTAAACTTTAATAAAAACTTCACAGTCAGCTTTTGCTGGACCAGAGCACTGTATATTTCCTATGAATGCTAAAGCTGTGGTGGGTTGTTTTTTTTTTCCAGGGCTTCAGTTTTTTCTTGTTGCCTTGATCCTAAGCCTGAGGTTTTCAGGTGTTCCAGAAAGGTGCAGGAGCCTTAGGTGTGAGAACGGGCAGATGCAGGTACTGAGAGCCACCAGCAGCCCTTGCCTGGTGTTTCCTCTGTAGAAGAAATGGCTCTGGTCAAAAAAGCCAGGCTGCTGAGTAGGCAAAGGTGAGGACCAAACATCGTTCCTGTCTCAAAAGCTGTTGAATGGCTATGGAAGAAGCCTGCTCTGGTCTTAGGTTAGCATCACCTGACTTTAATTACACTTGGTTGTTGAAATGAGTTTGGGGAGGCAAAGAAAAAGAGACTTGGTCAGGCTGCCCATGGATGATGCTGGAGTCAGCATCTTCCTCACAAGCATTGCTTGGACTGACAGCATCTGCACAGTAGTAGCTGACAGGTATGTTTGGGGAACTGCATTTAACAACAGTATTTCCCTAATATGACATTGTTTTGTGTTTTTTCATTTTTCCTCCCAACATCTCAAAATGCTTCTTGCTGTCGGCTGTTTCTCTGATTGTGTGGCTGGCAATGCATTGCGTTCATTTGCCGCTGAAGACAAAGTGCCCTAGCTCTCACTGCTGCTGTGTTCTTTCTTAAATGAAGTCCTCCTTTTTGCTGCCTTGTGCTGTTTTATTGTCTCGGTTCGGTTTGTGGAGGCACTGCAGGATGGAGGTGAGAGCTGGCTGTCCAACCCAACCTGTTTGCAGAGCTTGCATAGGGAGGTCCTCAGCTGCTCAGCTTGTTATCAGAGTGCAGTGCTGCTAGAGATGCTGTGACACACATTAGCAAGATAATTATTTATCCCAGTGTTCTTCTTGATGCTGGCAGGCCTAATGAGATGGTAAACTGTGAGGGGAAGCTTGAAGCCTTGGCCTGGCAGTTGTGCAGTGTTGCTGTTATGGACCACTCACCCCAGTGACGTTGTCTGAAATACGGGAGAAATGAAGAGCAATCTCACTTTCAAAGTCTTGCTGGTGACCTTTAAATTAGGGCTGGGAGTCTCATCATGAACTGCAGCTGCAGGATACGTGACTTACTTGTTTTCCTTCTCCTCTGAAAGGTTGTTTTGGATGAAATTACCACTTATTACAGAAAGGTCAAATGCGTATAACCACATCTCAAGTAAGCAGGCAGTGACCTTGTTTCTCTCGGTACACTGCTCACAATTCCATAATTGTGTGCTTTTTTCTAAAGACCACGCTGTTGTTGTTCATTTATAGCATGTTGCAAATACACACGTTTTATGGGCTGGCTCTGAACTGGTGCAAATTATTTCTGTTCACTCGAATGGAACAATGGTAAATTACACCGGAGCGGGGCTTGGTGCTTTGTAAGAGTTGTTCTCAAATTGATCTCTGTCCAGTCTCCCTTGAAAATAATGCTTGAAGACTGTTTGCAGCGTGTTGCTCTGCGTGTGCTGTTGTGCCCACTGAGGTGTCGGTGTGTGTTGCGCAGTGACTGAGGCTGTGCTGTGCATCGCAGTTGGTACGGTGTGTTTGTGGTTGTGGAACTGATGGATCGCAGTTGTAGGAGCTTGTGATGTTGTTGGATTTCAGACTAAGCTCTGTTTATAACTTAGGAACTTGGGTTTGCATTAGATTTAGTTTGATACCAGAGGGTGAATGGTGATAGGACGAGGGGAATGGTTTTAAACTGAGACAGAGGAGGTTTAGGTTGGATATTAGGAGGAAGTTTTTCCCCCAGAGGGTGGTGAGGCACTGGCACAGGTTGCCCAAGGAGGCTGTGGATGCCCCATCCCTGCAGGCATTCAAGGCCAGGCTGGATGTGGCTCTGGGCAGCCTGGGCTGCTGGTTGGTGACCTGCACACAGCAGGGGGTTGGAGCTGGATGAGCACTGTGCTCCTTTGCAACCCAGGCCATGCTGTGATTCTACCTAAAGAACTTCTTTTCCCCAAGGTTTCTGTAGATATTTCAAAACCAAACTGTTGCACAGAAGGTTCTCCTGCAAGGTGTCCCACCTGTCTTTGGGAGGAATTGAGCCTTGCAGGAGCTGAGCTGCTGTCCTTTGCAGCTGGAGGGGGTGGGTGATGGTAGGGCTGT